CTTGTTGGCTTGATCACTCAGTTCCCCTGCTTGGACGAATGGTAAGTCATTTCTTCCAATTGGCTGGAAGATTGTAACAAAGGAGGCCATTCTCACCGCACCGAGGTGGGGCGGCATGACTGGTTGGTTGTAAGCATAGGGTCTCTGGTCCAAGGAAAAGGTTAAGTTACCAATCAATGTTCTAGAATTATGTGCAATCAAACTCTATCTTTTTACATTGGATGACTCTACTATGGGGACATCCAGTCAGACAATGCCATATGTCAAGCAAGGAGCCTAGTAAGATTGCAGGACAGTGTCTCGCATTCTTTGTTGGGCAGAAAGATGTGTACCAGCTCTGTTGCTTTATTTTTTTTTGCTCCTCTGAGGGATAGTCAATTGGCAGGCAGATTATCTCAGTTGTCAGGGCTTGAAACGAGGAGAATGGGCTCTACATCTGGAAGTTTTTTTGTTGTTTTTTGTTCCGATTTGTCAGAAATGAACTCCAGACATGGATCTTCTGGCCTACCGATTTCAATTAGAAAGTGCAGAACTTTGTCCCCCGATGTGACAGCTGCGTGGGACAAGTACAATCTCACTTATGCCTTTCCTCCTCTAAAACATCTTCCACAACTTCTACGTCGAGTGTAAATCGAAGGAATACCGGTAATTCTAGTGGCTGCCGATCGGCCTTGACGCCCTTGGTACACAGACGTGGAGAGGCTAGTTGTAGATGTCCCCTTTTGACCTCCTCTTCACCTGGACTTTTCTCCCAAGGTCCAATCTTGCTTTTCAGGCTCTGGCTTTAACGGTATGACTATTGAAAGCCAGGTGCTGAGAAAGAGGATATTATATGAATCTGATCCCTGCGATGCTTACATCATTTAAGTCTACCTCTTGGAAAGTTTGCATTTCTTGGTGTGAGGGGCATAGTATTTCTCCTCATGCCTTTTCAGTTGCTCAGATTTTTGCCCTTTTTTTTTTCCATCGAGATGTAGATCAAAAGTTGGCATTAAAGGTCAGGTTTCGGCATTGGCAATCTTTTTTTCCAGCGTACGTTAGCCTTGAATTCCTTGGTTTGTACCTTCATTCAAGGCGTTTTACAAATTTCTCCTCCAGTCAAGTCTCTTTTGCCTCCATGGGACTAAAATTTGTTTCTCTTGGTTTTCCAGAATTCTCGTTTCTTAGACATTCGTGTTGTCCCTTAATTTGTCACAGGAGGTAGCTCAGAATTTCGTAATAGCTGCTTTATGTTGTAAACCTTCCCTTTTTTTATTTTATATAGATGAGGTAGTTCCCTGTCCTAGACCTTACTTCCTAAGGTAGTATTGGATTTCTATCTGAATGAGGATATTATAACCTCACTTTCTCCTCATCCCACGCATCCTAAAAAAGAATCACTGGAAAAAAATCTGTTTAGACGTAGTTAGGGTGGTGTGAGTTTGTATCTGCTACTGAATCTTTCCGTAAGTCAGGTTCCCTTTTGGTGATTACAGGCGACCCACCGAAAAGAAATAGCTTACACAACTACCATTTCTTGTTGGCTCATGCAATTTATTGTTCAGGCTAATGCTTCTATTGTACAATCTCCACAAGCGCCTGTTTAAAGGCGAACTATGAGGTGAGTGCTTTTCACTCACCTCATAGTTCTAGCCGACCTGTGACAATGAGACTGCTCAGTAGATCGGGAGGTCAGCGAACACATACCGGCGTTCGCTCACCTCTCGATCATGTCACGGCTCTCTGCCGTGACAGGGGAGGGGCTGGATTCCCCCCTCCCCGCTCCAATCCTCCAGCGCTGACTGGCGGATCGTACGGGGGAGGGGGCGGGTACAGCTGGCTCTGCCTCTGGGCAGCTCACGCAGCTGGGCGGATCCAGACATAATTGTCGGGATCCGCTTCAGCTGCGGCGTCTCAGTATACTGCGGGCTGAGCTTAGGGCGACGCGAGGACACTAGTTTGTGTCCTCCCGTTACCCTAAGGAGCACTATGGGGAAAAGCCTTAAAGGAGAACTATGGGGTTAAGTCTTTTCCCCATAGTTCTCAGGGTAACGGGAGGACACAAACTAGCATCCACCGTCACCCTAGGCTCAGTATACTGCGAGCTGTAGCTCGCGGTATACTGAGACGCTGAAGCGGATCCCAACAATTGTGCCGGGATCCTCCCTGACCCCTTCCCTGTCACGGCAGAGAGCCGTGACAGGATCGAGAAGTGAGCGAACGCCGGTATGTGTTCACTCGCCTCCCGATCTACTGAGCCGACCTGTGACAGTCTCATTGTCACAGGTCGGCTAGAACTATGAGGTGAGTGAAAATCACTCACCTCATAGTTCTCCTTTTTAATGCCTTCATGTGCTTGGCAGCACAAGCAATTTATGGTGCAAGAAAGTTAGGTGTGGTTGATTCAAATGTCTCCTACCCTAAGGAGAACTATGGGGAAAAGCCTCAACCCCATAGTTCTCCTTTAAGTCTGTAAGGTGACTACCTAGTCATCTGTATACACTTTTTACTTTTAGGCCCCATTCACACTGAGCGACATGAAAATCACGCGATGTTCTGCGCGATTTTATATGAGCGATATTGCGTTGCTTGTCGCACGACTTTTTCCTATTGGGCTGTATGCAATCAGGAGCAAAATCGCTCAAAATGTGCAGAAAAAGGGTCATGTAGTAGCGACAAGCTACAGCGACGAGCTACAAGCGATATTGTGAACAGCTCCATTAAAATGGATTAGAGAAACTACATAGAGCGATATCGCGTGGAAATATGAGCGATATCGTGGCAAAAATCGTGCAATAAATCGCTCGATGTGAATGGGGCCTTAAGTTGATGCTGTTGCACCTGTGGAGGTTTCCTTTTTTGGGACTTTTTTTGTGCCATAGCGCTACTGCTTTGTGACCAATTGAGCTGCCTTGGAAGTGGTTGTTACCACCAGCAGGATCCGCCCCCAGAGTGAAGCTTCTTTCTTAGCATCCTGCTCCTGCAAGTGGCCAGTATAACCCATCGGTACAGAGAGCAAGATCTCAGCTGTGCCCTTCAATGAACGCAGAGAAAAGGATTTTATGAGTACAAAAAAATCATATTTTTCTGTGATGCATTCAGGGACATGGCTCTCTTAGCTGGTTGTGTGTGCAGGTATGTAGCCGTTGGGTAAAGCTGTACCCTTTTCTACTTTGTACAGTGCTTATACCTCCTGGAGGCTGTAGATGTACCCCATGTATAGAAAATTGGATTTCTATGTCACCCTAATAACTGTTGGTGAAAACTTTGTGGTACCAGACCCGGGAGTTAAATCTTGAATTTTTTTTTTTACTAGGGATGCACCAATATATCGGCCGAAAATGGCACTTTTGGCAAAATGACGAAAAGTGCCATTTTCTGGTCGATATAGGGGTTCATCTGTTTTTTCCTCCCCGTTGGGTGCTGCTATGTGTCCCAGCAGGGAGGAGAGAAGCTGTGAGCGGCTGGCGTGTCTCCTCCCCACACCGCTCAGCCTCCTGTCACAGATCGGGAGAGCAGTGTGGGCGGAGACAGCTTGCAGTGCTGTCAAAGGAGGATGAGCTCCGCTCGCTCAGCCTCCTGTGATCCTGCTCATCTCTCCTCCGATCACCGGACCCGGAAGTTTTGTGTATTGCATCACTTGCAGTGTCACTGTGTACATTCACTGGCTCTTAGAGCCCGGAGAAGAAGCTGGGCAAGCACATCTCTGCTTCCTCAGCTTCTTTGGGTCCCTAGCTGACATTAGGGGTCTAAAAGATCCCCGATGTCTCCATTAAGAGGACCTGTCACACCCAATTTGCTTTTACGTAAGGGGCTTGTTAGCCCCTTATGTGATCACAACAAGGTTAGTGAAAAAAGTGTTTAAAATAAAATTTCAAGTAACATAAGAAAATGTTAAAAAAAATGTTTTTTTGCATTTTTTTAAGTCCCCTGCCCGCACATGCACGCACATACATACAAGCATACTTTCGCAAACACGTGTCGGTGCACCTACGTGCAAAACCGTAAATTGCGATACACATGTTGCATATCGCCGTGAACGTCCGAGTGAAAACAATCACGGTTAGCACTGAAATTCTGAGCGGTAAAAGATTTTAAAGTGTCCACTATGGGAAATTTTGGGTATTGAAGTTTTTCGTGGCTTTACAGGCGAACACAATTTTAAAGCTTGACATGTTTGGTATCTATTAACCCGACGTGACCCATCTATCATATTTTACCAAAAAAATGGGTATTGTATCCTTTTTCTGTATACTAAATTTCATTTTAGTGTATTTTTTCCTAAAAATTACTAATTTGATAAACATTTGTGCAAATACCGTGCGACATAAAGAATTGCAACTACCGGCAGCAATTATTTTTTAAAATTGTTTTACAGGGCCTCTGCTTTCAGAAAACATCCTTGTTTGGGGGATTGTGGCTTTTTTTTCTAGCCAAAAATTCAGTTTATATCATGTGTGTGCCAATAGGAAGAAATTGCTTCGGACAGCAAGTGGTTAACATAAGCACATGTTACTAAAAACCTGGCAGTTGTAGGGGCCAATTCATACCGGCCGGTGTAAGGGCCAATTCATACCGGCCGGTGTAAGGGCCAATTCATACCGGCCGGTGTAAGGGCCAATTCGTACCGGCAGCTGCACTACGCATCGCATGGTTTTACTTATTTTTTTTTTGGTTATAACCCCATTGAGGTGTCACGAGTTACATTTCATTAAGTTCCATGGACACATTGCGGTGAGATGCAGTTGTACCACATCACAGCACGGTGTGCTGAAAATAAGTATTGCATTCTTTTCCCCTCTTTTTTTTTTGTTTTTCAAAAACTGATGGTGTGAACTGATCCCATTCGAAACAAGGCAAATTGCCTTGTCTATTATTGAGGCTTGACAGAGTTCCTTTTTAAATGCACTTGGCTTCATGGTTTAATTTACTGCTCACTCTTGAGAGGCGCGTATAGGTGTTATATTTTTGTGTTGGCTGTACAAAGTAATATATTTTCTTTTTTTTCATCCTCCTTTTAGGGATCCAAGTGTGAGGTACATGTAAAAAATGGAAGTGTGTATGAAGGGGTTTTTAAAACCTATAGTCCTAAGGTAAGTAAGGTTCTCTGAGTTACTGTCTATTGTATCCGATTTGTGCATTTAGAAATATAAAGTATATGTAAGCTCTTTGATAAACCATTTCCATTTGAGGGCCACTGGACAATGTTTCTGCTCCCATGGGGCCGCATGCCAAATTTCATACTTCAAAACAAAGTGTGTGTGTACACTGAGTGGCCAGATTATTATGACCACCCCATAAGTACTTAGTTGGACCACCTTTTGCCTTCAATACTGCGGCGATTCTTCTTGGCATTGACTCCACGAGATGTTGAAAGGTGATGCGAGGAATCTGACACCTTGCCTGATGAATAGCACTGTCCAGTTCTGTGAGATTTAATGGTTGTGGAACCAGCTGCCTGAGGGTTCTTTCAACTTCATCCCACAAATGCTCAATTGGAGTGAGATCTGGTGATTTTGGGGGCCACCTAAGCAAGGTCAATTCTCCCTCATGTTCTTGAAACCACTCCTGCACAATACGAGCACCGTGGCATGGCGCATTGTCTTGTTGGAAGAAGCCATCTCCATTGGGTATACGCCATCAACATGATCGGATGAACTTGATTAGCAACGATACTTTGGTATGTTGTGCTATTCAGACGTTCTACACAAATTAAAGGGCCCAAATCATGCCAGGAAAACATGCCCCAAACATAACACTGCCCGCACCAGCTTGAAGGGTTGTACTCATGCATGTGGGGTGCATGCTTTCATGCTGTTACCGCCAAATTCTCACTCTGCCATCTGCATGATGCAACTGGAAATGTGATTCATCGGACCACATTACTTTTTTCCAATGCTCAACTGTCCAATGCTTGTGTTCCTTTGCGACTTGGAGACGTTTTATCTTAACTGCAGACAGCAAAGGTGTTCGAACAGTCCTTCGGCTTCCATATCCCATACGATGCAGTGTACGGCGAACAGTGCGTTCAGAGATCATTTGAGAGGATCCCTGATTAAGATCTGCAGTCATTTGATGCACTGTTGCTCTTCTGTTGTCTTGTACCAGTCTTGCCACTCTCCGTTCTGCCCTAACATTTACAAGTCGCTGACGGCCACAATTTGCAGACCCAGATTTCTGGCTGACAGTCCAGTCTTTAAACACTTTAACAACAGCTGCTCTTGAACATTTAATGAATTCTGCTGTTTTGCTGATACTCGCACCATGGCTCCGAGCGCCAACAATCATCCCACGTTCAAAGGCTGTTAAATCGCGTTGTTTCCCCGTATCTTCAGAAACAAAATCACTTCTACTCTCGTGGTAAACAACCTGCTTCCCTATTTATAATGGTCTGGCCCTCTAGCAACTTCAGCGCCAAATTATAGCTAATTTGCCTACAAACGTCAGGTGGTCATAATAATCTGGCCACTCAGTGTATAGGAACCTGGGCCCATGATTACAATTTTTAGAAATATCCTATCTCTTTATCCAATAGTGTGTGTGTGTGTGTACACACACAAATATACAAACATTTTTTTTGTGTTGGTTTGTGTGTGTATTGTCAGGATTTCTGTGAGTGGTGTTGGTAAGTGTGTTTAATGTTTCTGTATGTGTGCCACACCTTCTTAAAATAAGAGAGCCCTCTCGCTTACATTTTGTTTGCAGGGAGGGGGGCACACTGCAGGCAAATTCCCAGTTGGTCCAGTGATTGGTTTGTACGGTCTGCGCCTTTTTGGATGGTGCAGACCTTACTAATCCTTTCAGCCAGCGCTCAGTGAAAGCAGTCATTCACATGCTGTGCCCTGACTCGCACTGAGTGTTTAGAACTGCCTGGAGCAGCTATGCGTGTAGCTGCTCCCACAAGTCAGGTACGCGGTCCGTAAATTGTTAGCCGGCTGTGGGCTGCATGGTACCAGTCGCGGGCCATAACCCCGTGTTGAACCGTTATTTTGTCTTTTCTTCCAAAGTCATGTACATCTGGGAAAAAAATGCATCTTTTGGTGTTTAATTTTACCCTTGTCTATTGTGTTACAGTGTGACTTAGTTCTTGATGCAGCTCACAAGAAAAATAAAGACTCTGCTGGTGGGCCAAAGCGTGAAGACATCGTGGATAGTATATTATTCAAGTCTTCCGATTTTGTGATGGCACAGTTTCCTGACATGGATGGGAATTATGCAAGAAGAGGTAGTGTGTTGGATAAAAAAAAAAAAATCTTTATGATGTGATTTTAAATACTAGTAGGTTGTATGAGGTTGAAGATTGCTGTCTGCTTTCCCCCACCCTTTGGTAGGAGGGACTGTATATAGCATTTTAGTTACCTTGAAACAAGTCTGAAGACTCGTTTATCCAGGTCATGTATAACCAGAAGTAGCCACATTCAACTAGACTTGTTCTGTAATGGTAAAGATGTTTTAATGCTTTTTCAGACCAGTAGATGCAAAGTCCCGATATGTGATTGCGTCTCACAGATTTATTGTGAAGAATACTGTCACAGACCCATATACTGACATTTTGGGCCTTGCAGGGTCCCCTTTTTTTTTAAAGTGACACTAAACCCAGGAATTAAATCTTAAAAATACATTCAAGTTCCTTTTAACTATTAACAAAAATGTATCTTTATGTGTCACTCAGCTGTAGATCCTCAAATGATCTCTATATTTGTGCTGACACCGTCCTTCCTTCTGGTGGGTGGCTACTTTTGTTCCCCATGGTCCCTGTGTGTGTTGTAAAGTAGACACCGCTCCAAGTTTGCTTTTGTGTTGGACTGCAATCTGACGTTTTAGTTTACTACTTTGTAGTGAGATTGTAGTCTATCACAGGAGTGAGCTTGGTGCGGTGACTACTTTACAACACACACAGGGACCATGGGGAACAAAAGTAGCCACCCTCCAGAAGGAAGGACAGTGTCAGCACCAATCCAGAGATGTAACAAAAAAGAAAAAACAGGGGTTTGAAGAGAGGTATAACACCACATCATGGAGATATTTTATAAAAATAGAATTTATTTTACATTGAATAAATAATATAAAAAACATGTATACACAAGGATTGCACTATACCGAAAACACCATTATTATCAGGAGCACAAGCCCATGAATTATCTCGTATACCCATATATCCAACTGTATTCATTTGATACCCAGTACATGTTCAATTGGAGATTAGTATATCCAGTCCATGGGTATACGGGGGATATGAGAGATAATTCATGGGCTTGTGCTCCTGATAATGGTGGTTTCGGTATAGTGCAATACTTTTGTATACATGTCTTTTATATTATTTATTCAATGTAAAATTCTATTTGTTATAAAATATCTCCATGCTGTGGTGTTATACCTCTCTTCAAACCCCTGTTCTTTTTTTTGTTACAATTGTCATTAACCCAAGGGGGAGAAGTTGTATCAGGAGGCCGCTGTGTTAGCAGTCCACAATTGTGTTATGAAATCAGAGATGATCTGAGGATATTCAGTCGAGTGATGAATACATTTTTGTTAAAAATGCATTTAAGTACCTTTTTTTTAACTATTGAGATTTAACTCCTGAGTTTAGTGTCGCTTTAAGGCAACATAGAGTGATGTCAGTCTGTTGCCTGGAGAAAAGGGCCCTGCAAGGGCTGTGACTCTGTTCTTTACAAAAAATCTGTGAGATGCAATTGCATGTCTGGAGTGCTGGTACCTAGGTCTGGTGCAGTGCCATCTGATGCTATCACTTCGAGCACCCACTTATATGAAGGTCTATTCCTGCCAGGAGTACAGCTTTATATATGGATTGAATTCTAGAGCTTTTACAAATGGTTTCCTTCCTGAGTTAAATGTCAAAAATGACTTCTCCCCCCCCCTTTTTGTAGAAAAATATTAAATTTGTATTTTAATTGGTTTCATGACACTATTATGCTGGCAAACTAATATTCATTATACTTTCCTTCATTTGATCATTGTATTAATGAAATGGCAAAGATGAAACTAAGTTATTAAGGGCAAGTAAAGCTTAAAATATATTACTTGTGTGAAGGTGCAGTTAATACAAATATTTGTAAAGGTAGCCATACGTTTTTATATTTGCTATTTTAAAGTGTATGACTAGTCAAAAATAAGAGTTGCACATGTAATAGAGTGCTCCAGTTTAGATTGATTCTCTGCGTACCCTTTATGTATGTTGATCTTACAACATCCCTTGATGGGGTTTAATTTGAATACAGTGCTGGTAGAACACTGAGACCTCATGGAAGCTGTAGTAGTATTTGCTGGTTCTAGTTGGTTGTGATGGCTGCACCAAAGGAAGTGCCAGGAAATGTATGTCCTGTGTTTCAGGGCTGATGAAATTAGAGGCTGCTTTTGTCTTTGAGAATTACTTTGCAGAAGTAGAAAATGGGTAAAACCTCTTGCATTGTCAGGTATTTTACACTTGTGTTAACCTTTCAAAATTTTTTGGGAGAAATCAAACTGAACCTATAATAAACATGTTGGCATAGGCTACCTGCAGGGAAAAAGTCAATGCCATGAAGGTAAAAGTTGTATACAAAATTAAATGGTTGCCATCTGGCCGATATAAATAAACAGTTGGACGTAATGCCTGGTTCCCACCTAGGTGTTTTTGAATAGTTTGTAAAAGCGCTTTAAAATGGCCAGCGCAAGAAATCCCATGATTTTCAATGGCCCTTGTTCACACATGAGTAGGAAAATGCCTGAAATGGTATAGGAGCTTCTTTGGGCAGTTAAAAGCGTGTTTTTGCCCCATAGACTTCAATGAAAATGCGCAGCAGAATAATGTTGCATGTTTTTGTGCATTTAAACGTGCATTCGTCCATTGCCCTCAGTTTTTCATAAGCTGCCAGTCATAACGCGTCTTGGTGTACGTGCTTACAAACACGCATCAAAATGCACAAATAACCACACACTGAAATGGTGCTGCCTAGGTGTGAACCCGACCTAAGGGCAGGTGAACATTTTATAAAGTCCTTTCCCATTTGTGCGTGTCCCACCTCCACCAGCAACCGCTTAGTTACTAAACACATATTGGGTGCGCCTACGTGTGAAAACGCATGCCACACGTTGCGTATCACTGCGAATGTCCGTGAACGATAATTCTAGGGTCATCAATCACTGTTAACACTAAATTGATGAGCAGTAAAAGCTTTTACAGCATCACCTAGTGTGAATTCGCGGGCACATGCAATTTTAAGGCTTGGCGTGTTTATCTAATTTACCCGCCGTTACGCCATCTTTTATATTTTACCAAGAAATGGCTAATGTTTTATTGCAGAACTTGGGGAAAACTGTATGGGGTTCTGTCAACCCCCCCATATCACTAAATAAAAAGCTCTCTGTCCTTAAATTTTATAAGACGAATTTTATGTTTGCATGGTTATTATAATGGTGGCCACACTAGAAAGCTTAAAAGGAAGCTAGTAGTATGTAGCAGAGTGGGCCTTCAGACCAGGTTATCAGAACTGCGTTCGTTATTCTTACTCTGTATTTCATTAGTACAGAAGGTACTGCTATTGTAGCCATTTCACAGTCAATATACAGCTGTTTTTCTTTGGGGTTTTTTTTTTTGTCATCATGAGAAAGTGTTCATTTTGTAGTTGCTTTTGCTACCAGGTTGTTGTAAATTGTGATCTTTATATAATATATAAATATATAT